ATAAGGAAAATAAGGTATTGTCAAAAAGCTGGAGACTTATTTTACATAGTGCATCAAGTTAGGAGAAGCCAAATTGAATGATGTATAGGCAAAGTTTATCATTAAGCAAGTTACAGTTCTTTCACTCTAGGATTGACACCTTCTGTAATGTAACATTTCTCCTCATCTTTAGACCATTACCAGTGTCAACATCCTGCCTATATACTCATGTACAAGTTGATCTCATGACCTCAAGGACAGGTTTTGGGGCCAAATTTATAGATTTTGATATGACTTGTGGACAAGTCAATAGAAAGGAAAGCACAATTTCCACCTCAGCATCAACCTCTGGTTACTGCCACCAATTACCTGCCCAGGCATTCGAAAAAGCCAGAATTATTGCCTCAACAGAGAAAGTAGAGTGGGTCAGTGCTTCTTTTATGTTCACCCAGAATGGACTAAGCTTTTGCCTTTGGCCACTCTAATCAGAGAATATCATCCCTTTTTAAAGTAAGAGTTAAGGTACAGAACTCACATTGACTCGAGGCAACATTGCTCAGTATTCTGAGCAATGATTTTCAAAACTAACATTTTTAGAGTTAAGAGTATATACAGTAGGGTATGTATCAGACTATAGACTATGCAGTATGGCTGGCAATGTAAAGAAAAATGCTAGGTAGGACTCCACCTCCTCTCTTTCCCTCTCCCTCAGCCTTGTTAGGCTGAGATGATGCGATAGAGCACGTTTGGCTGTACTTCCCAAGACAGTTTGCTTGCATTTGCAAAACAAATGGACTCAAACTTACAAAAATAAACTTTAGGGTAGAATGATCTTTCATAGTACCTGCACAGAATACTACGAGTAGTTTACCATCATAGCTGGTATAATCGTCACATGCAATGAGACAGAAATACAGATACAGCAATACAGGGTCTTGTTAAGTTTTCTGAATAAGATCTTATGTAAACCACCACTTTGACAATTAAATATTAATAGCTTTAATGTTAAAATATGGTTCAAGCCACCAGTGATTGCTCTATTCTGAATATGATGTGAACTGTCTTCCTTTGATATTGATGTATCTGTATTTATTGCACCATATGTATTGTGACATTATGACTGCTTTGTAAGCTGCCCCGAGTCGCTTTTGGAAGATGGTGGTAGGGTAGAAATAAAGATTTATTATTATTTCTGATTATTGTGGTTTGAGTTAAAGATATTCTTTAAATTGCTCATTTGATTGTGCTTTCCCTGCATGGTAGGGGGCTGGATTGGATAACTGGTGAAGTCTATGATTCTATGTGAAAAGGGTTACTGAAATAGCTTTTCATATTCTTTCTTTGGTTAATTTCTTCTTCAGCGTCATCTGCAAAACTCTTTCATTAAGAACATACTAAACCAATTGCTATTGATCTTGTGCTATTTTCAGATACTGAAACATCAGGGAACTTCATTAAATTTGACATTAATCCTATCTGTTCAGTGCCTGATTATGACACATATGTGGGAAACTCAGCTAACTGAGCCTGAGCTATAAAACAGGACCCGTTTTCAAAAGAGACCTGCTCATCAAAAAGGGAAATTTTCTGGGAAATACATTCGGAAGTTTGATGCTTGTGGACTACCAATTATAAACATCTAAACTGTTACATAAGAATATAATTCCTACTGCTTCCGGAAAGCAAACAAAACTTAATAACTCCAGAATTCATCTTTAAGAAGTGTTCCCAATAGTCTCCTCTGCCATGTTTAGCTTTAGCAGAGATGAAATATTGATGTTTTCAGACCACTAGGATCAACTGTGTTAAGGCTTTATTATCCCCAACCATTGCGATGTAAGAATAGTGTGAAAATATTAGGACAGAGGTTTTGTTAATGTAAGAAGTGAGACATATAGCTTCCAGATCCTGGATAAACAAGACAGGGAGAACAGAATTCTGGAAGGGATCAAAATAAAAAGTAAAGTGGATGTTTGGGACATTTCTTTTCAGAAAAGTTTTTTACATGCATTTTAAATAGAAATGTTGGAATTCTACACAGACACACCCCACACAAAAATATAGATAACAGCATATCCACACAAAAATATAAAGCTTCTAAGAGTGAAAGGTTTCAGAGAAATAAAGATATGAGGTGATACATTCTCAGGATTGAAATGTAATGCTGTTCTCTCACACACCATTCACAATATCAGGTTTCTTCTGATCATTAAGTGTTAAAAGTTGTAGAATATTATGATCTACATTTTCAAAGCTTCCAGAACTGGGCTTCAGAGAAAAGGAGGGGAGGGAGTATACTGGCTCTCATTTGATTTTTAAGGACATGAACAGTTCTCTGGGGAAATATTAGATAGGAAAGGTTGGTGTAACTGATTGGCCTACCTTGAAGGGTTGGTGTAAAAGGGCAGAAAACAGGCCCAACTTGCAAAAGCTACGGAGAAAAGTAGGTGGTGCAAACAGGCAGCCTCATAGCCAGAAGTGAAGTCTGATTGGCTAATGAAATGGGAGGAAAAAGCTCAGTAATTGGAGATGGACGGAGCCAAAGGCAAAGAGAAGAAGCTGAGGCAGCCATTTTAGTTCAGTTAGGAGCTTGGTGAGGAAGAAGACAGTCGGCAGTTTTGAAGGGGAAGGAAGGGAGTTGGGAACTGTTTGTTTTGTGAAAGATACCTCTTTGAGGATAGTAGTTAATAGGCCTCTATAGTGATTAGAGTGCTGTGGGAGGGAGATTTCAAAGGTTTAAAAAAGATCCTAGTTGGATTTGTATGTGTGTGACTTTGTTTTAAGAAACTCAATATATAAGTACAATCTTCTGTAAGAAGTAAAGTCTGACAAGTTATTTGAAACCATTACGCCTATTGACTGTTCAAAATAAACAACATATTCCTGTTTTATTTCAACTGAAGTCTTTGTGTGGCTTTTTAAACATTCCAGTGAAGGAGGTGGCCTAATAAAATAATAAATTGGTGGCAAGAGAAACCTTTAATAAACAATTGGAGGCAGCAAAGGTAAAGTATAAAAGACAGTGGTAGCTTTCCATTGACTGGCCTGTGTGTGCGCTCTGATCCCCTCACGGCCTCACCTTGGGAAGACCTTGTTGTTTGTCCTCCATCTTGTGTGTGGTGTATCTGAGGCAGGCTCTGCTTTCTGTCCCATACAACTTTGTTGTTGTTTGTTGTAATTTGTGGCAATTTTAGAGAGGGATTAATAACGTGGTATTTACACATGGTATTTAAGTGGAGAGGGCTGGGCTGAAAATACTGCTAGGATAAGCCAAGGTAGTTTATAGTGATGTTTAAAAGAGATGAGAATGAGACCCTTGAAAAAGGAGTTTTAACTAAGCTTCTTTTTGACATGACAGATTACATAATGAAAGTGAAGTTTATTTAAATGAACAAATCACTCAGGGCCTGAAAGTAAGTTCACAGCAGGAAAGTATCCCATCTCTTTTCTGCTCCTGAAACCACCCAGAAAAACCCTTAGAATCATCTGAGTGGGACTACAAATGAATCACCCCAAATCAGGGTGGCCTCCCTGTTCTCCATCCTTTATTGTTCAGAAGTGAATCCCCTCCTTCCCAGCAGCTAGTTTGAAAAAAAGTGATAGCAAACTTTTAATCTGAGCTTTTAAAATTTGTGCTTCAATTCATGCGTTTCAAATTTCTCCTGAATTAGTCCCTTGACCAAGGACTCAGTCTACATCTCCTTTAGTTCCGCTGTTGTTATATATCTTAATTGTACCTGTTCATTTGTATAAGTGTTTGCTCTTGGTCAGTCTGCGCGTTGACTCAGTTAAGCCCCATCTACACTGCAATATACTGTAATTCAGTCTGAAACTGCATTATATGGTCAATGTAATTTAGGTTTGCTTTTGAAATGTTATTGTTTTATTCTATCAATTTTACTTTTCTTTCTATTTTAAACACACTGGGCTGTATCCAATAGGATTATTCAACTCTTGAAAAACTTTCGCAGATTTTCATTCTCACATGGATGTTGTACGTACGAGGGTGAGTCAAAAATTATCCACACTCTGGTTATATTAAATCTTCTGTTGGTATCAGCACTTTCTGTATGAGTTATGGGAGAGTATATGTTTCTTGGGCAACTGAAATAACACCTCTAAAGATCTGCTATATATTTTACGCATTGGTATATCTTTGTTCCTAACAGTTCAGAGAGATATATATCAGTATATCAGTCTAATAGCTAAAAAGCCTAAATTGCCTTGCATGAATACTAGTGGATATTTACCACTAAGGAGAAGACTGATTTAAGTGAGTTTTAACTCTTCTCAGAAAGTTCATACTTTACAAAAGGTTGTGATCTCTAACAAGTTCATGCCTTTCCAAAGGGTTATGATTATTCCAAATAGAGTGAATACCAATTAATATCCAAAAGGGTCACACTTCCAAAAGGCTTTGAAAATTCCTGGTTTTCCCAATAGCAGCTCCGTCTAAAATGTTTTTCATAAGGGAGTATGAAAACTTGTTGACAGATGTATTGAGAAGCAGGGAGATTGCGTCGAGAAATGATGTAAACATTTGTTTTTTTCTGAAAGTGGATGAAAATATATTCTCTAGCCAGAGTGCAGATGATTCTTACTCACCCTTGTAATATTTTGTTTCGATATACATCAAGTGTTTTCCAAACGTTATCTTAGGCAATCGTTGTGACAATTGTTCAGCTAGCACTTTAGAAACCATTAGTTGAACACACAGCCACAAGGAGAACTCTACTTCTTGTGCTTCCCCAGTAGCATTACTGTGTGTATACTTTTAAAAGATCAATTATAATAGTGCTTTATTAATATCTTATTAAATCTTGTATATATTGTCTTTATAGGAAGATGCTATTTGTACTAAAAGGACGCAGTATATTGTGTAAGTTGATAAAGATCTTCTATTTGACACCAAAGCATGAGTTCTGAAATCTCAAGAAATATATATTTTTAACCCCTACATATAATTAGGGGATTGAAGAGGTGCAAATGAATTTTCAATACACTCAAATCAAACAAACTACTTTCTGGTTTCAAAATTGTTTATTTATAAGAAAGGTATTTCTTGTCCCAGTAACCAACATAAAAACCTTCTGCCCAAAATTTAAGCAAATCATCTTCTTTCCTTGAGATTTCAATTTAATTTCTTCAAAAATTAAAACAAACCCAACTGAATTTTCCCCTCCCTCGGATTAACCTAAAGAAATTTAGTAAAGTACCTTTCAATTGCACTGGATGGGAGATAAAATTTGTAATGTACAAGTATAAAAATATGTTACTCAAGGTTCAGAATAATAATTTAATAGCTTTTTGCTGTTTTGTAAGTATCTGGAAATGGAACAGATACATGTCCTGCTCCTGTCACAAGAGGTAGGATGCCAGCATTTGGTACGACATTCCAGGAAAGAGTCAAAGTGACGTTTCTGTTGCCCCTGCAATTTGAAAAGAACATTAGTAGGAAAAAA